ACCAAAGGCCTTCCTGAAGAAATTGGGTCCATCAATATCAGAAGAAGCTTACAGCAGCACCTTCCTACCGCACCCAAATCAAGGTGGCCCCCAAACTTTAGAAGCTTTAGCAAACACTCCCTAAACCCAAATCCCGACAATCTATACACAGCCAGAAGCACATGAAACTGCACCCACGAAATTTGATAAAATTTCATGTGAGCTATAGTCTAAGCTCCTAGTATCCCCCTTAATAGCAGAGACACTACTTCCCTATATAATCCCCTGACTATATAATCCCCTTTAAGGAGTTTCGACCCTGGACCCTACACCCCAAATCCCAAACCCCAAACCCTTAACCCTATATAATCCCCTAGATAACTTAGGAGGACCCCCCACCCTGTAATAGTGGTATATTAAGAATATAAGAGGACCCTAATATAGTCACTACTATCCCTTATAGTCACTATTACTGGGTGCTGGGTGCTCATGTAGGCCCAGGGACACTGTCGACCAGGCAATTACCATCCACATCCAGGGACTCTGCCCAATTCCCATTCGTCTCCTCAAAGGGTTTAGGATTTTAGGGATTCTAGGGGGTTTAGGGTTTAGGGTTTAGGGTAGGGTTTAGGGTTTTAGGGTTTTAGGGTTTTAGGGTTTAGGGTTTTTGTCTCCTCAAAGTCTTGGGGGGGGTTTAGGGTTTAGGGCTTTCGTCTCCTCAAAATCTTGGGTTTCAGAGCTGAGGGTTTAGGGTACAGAAGAAGAGCACAGTAGGCATAACGACAATAATGATATTATAACACCATGAAAGCAAAAACCAACATGAAGAGTGAAGGCCTGGGCTTAGGTCTTAGGTTGGAATAGAGCCTTGGACTCAACTGAGCAGGTGGGACACTGTGATGAAAAGGCGGCAATCCAACAAAACAAGCGCAAGGTGAACATTTAGTAGGCGTCACTTACAGCCGACATGTGCCTAGGCATACTTCACAGGTACGGGCTAATTGCGGATTAAGGGTTCTGGACTTAGAGTTACAAGTTTAAAGCTTATGTCCTCACCCTAAACCCTTAACCGTAAACCTAGAGGATTTAATGTTTAGATAATAGGCGTCAGGGTGAAGGGGATCTCAGGGTTTGGGTTCACATCACAACCATTCAGGTACCTTGCATTTTGCAATTACCAGTATTCCTGGTCAACATGAATACCCCAGAACCAATGTCCTTTTTGAGACGTGTCTGTCGGCTCCATACCGGAAAATTATCTGGAGACATGGGAATAGGAGTGGATCCACATAGTTGTAGTCCTGATTAAACCAATCCTCTATAAACATCCCTAACCCCATTCTGGCATTCCCTTACATACCCCCTTATTTGGTAATAGTTTCCATGTCCTCTTTTCCATTATCCCTAACTAAGTAAGCACCAGGTAGCATGGAGCCATCAAACCGAAAGAGTCATTCTCATCAACCCAGAACTTCAAACCCTGAATGCCCCATATGAGCTATAGCTTAAACTCGTTAAAGGGGATTATATAGGGGACTACTATAGGGGTTATTAAGGGGGATACTAGGAGTTTAGACAGTGGCCCACATAATTCCCCCACATCGTACTAAACCCGCAACCCACAACCCCAGACCTTACATGTCGGTATAAAGCCCTTGAAGGGACATAGGGCCATCCCGGGGCTTCGAAACCAACCCGAAGCCAACAGCCAGCTAGGTTCCAAACGCCGCTGTGGGACCTAAAAATTAAAGCAGAAACCTCAAGCCCTTAACCCTAAGTCCCTACACCGTTGGACCTTAAACCCTAAACCCTGTAGGGCAAAGGGCCTTGGTCTCCAAGTGGACAGCCAGGGGATCCAAGAAAGCAGCGGCGTCCCCAGCCTCCACCGGAGTTTAAGGATTTAGGGATTCGGGGTTAAGGGAGAAAGCGTTAAGCGTTCAAGGGTTAAGGGTTTACGGAATAAGGGCTTAGGGTTCAGGTACCCCGCATCATGCGATCTATAGGGGTTTAAGGTTAAGATTTTGTATCAGAGTCGGTGCGCCCCTTTACAACGAGAGAATCTGCCCTGGAAACTTCACTCCAAAAAGACACCTTTGTATGGGATGGGTTGCAACATGCAAGAATCTTGTCAGGAAGCCCGCTTAACCCTGAACCATAAACTGTAATAAGATAGGGATCTGTAGGGCCTGGGGCTGAGGGTTATGCCCTAAACTACAGCCTCACCCTTTCCTAAACCCACCCCACCCCACCGAACTAACATGGGATGTAGAAGGTGGGTTAGAAGTCGAAAGAGCGCCAATATTCTATCTACTTAAGGGGGACTATAACCCTTGTCCCACCTCGCGTGGGAAGAGCAAGTAATCCAGGGCCACGCGCCACACCGTGCGGCTTGCTTCAGAGCCATACCTGGTCTTCTTAAGTTTCTAGGGTTTAGGGTTTAGGGCTTCTTAAGGTTTTTTTTTTTAAAGTTCAGGGAGCATAAGATTTAGGGTTTATGGCTTAGGGAGTAGGGTGGCTGGGCTGGGGGAGTAGGGTTTAAGGGTTTAGGGATTAGGGTGTATAGGGTTTAGGGACAAGGGTCTAAGGGTCTAGGGTTCAGGGGCCTGAATGTTCACAATCGTGAAGACTCCTGTGCAACAGCGGATGGACAATCAATTCGAATCTGGATGTCTATAGGGGTTCACAAGAATTGTAGGGTAATTAAGGGCCTAGAAATCTGAATAAAGCTTCGGTGCATATTCTACTAGAGTCGCATTCGCTTGGGTTGATCCCCGACAAACCCCTACCTGCAACCCCAATTACCTACAGTTTCATGGGCTATACCGGTTATACCTACTATTTAGGGGGTAGTTCCTACTAAGCTGTAGGTAACTGGGGTTGTGGACTGAGTAAGTAGGCGAGTCGCCCCCGTAAGCCATGTAAGGCGCCAATTCTCCTCAGTATGCCCTTACTTACTCAGTCCCATGACCTTCCAAGTGAACTCTCACTGAACCTTAAACCCTAAATCCTACACCCTAAACTCTAAGCCCTAAATCCTTAACCCTAATTAACCCTAAAACCCTAGAACCCGAGCATCCTAAACCCTAAGCCCTAAACTCTAAACCCTAACTAAACCCTAAAGGACCAAGGCACTCCGCGCCCGGAGTTCCGCTGCCGGAGAAGCCGGTGCTGGCAAGGAGGTCTTGGCCTTCTTCGTAGACCTGACAGAGCTGGCTAGGGTTTATAGGATTTTACGGATTTAGGGTTTAGGGCTTAGGGTTTTAGGGTTTTAGGGATTTAGGCTTTAGGGCTTAGGGCTTTAGGGATATAGGGTTTGGGGCTTTAGGGATTTGGGGCTTAGGGTTTTAGGGATTTAGGGTTTTAGGGTCTTAGAGTTTGGGGCTTTAGGGATCTTAGAGCGTTAGGGTTTAGAGTTTTAGGGTTTAGGGTTTTAGGGTTTTGGGTTTTAGGGTTTAGGGTTTGGGGTTCTAGGGTCTGGGGTTTCAGGGTCTGGGGTTTTAGGGTTTAGGACCGACTAAAGGAAGTTGCATGGGGGAGTCTTTATTATAAAGGGTATATAGGGACCATGGGGACTTATATAAGGGGGTATATAGGGCTTATGTAACAGTTCTGAGGGTTCAGGGTTTCATATCGGGTTTAGGTTTTGGAGGGTGAGCGGTTTGGAGTTAGGATTCTACTTGCATAGCACAGGGTTGTGTGGAGCTAGATTTCGGCTTAGGGGCTCAGGATTTTTCAGGGTGTACGGACCCTAATTCCTAAACCGCGTATGTCATGGTTTGGTTCGGGGTTTGGGGTGAACCATGTGCTGCACACCTTTGAGGAGCACTGGGGAAGCTCTGGGGCAACAAAGCCCCGCTTTTGACTCTTTTGGTGATGCAGATTTTGCTTTGCAAGGACTCCCGCAAGGGTTTGGGGTTTGCGGTGGGGGGACAACAACCAGCCTGCAGTATACGACCAGGGTCCTACTGGCCTCCACCTGAACCCGAAGCCCTCAACCTATAGTCGCCCTGAAGTAGATAGAATATGGAGTATATGGAGATCTTATTATGGTTTTGTTATGGTGTTGGACAAAGCCATATTCTATCTAGTTAAGGGGGACTATAAACACCCACTACTACTAAGGCATAACCACTCCTGTGGATACGACTATTGCTCCGTCTATTTCCTTGCTACTATTCCTATTATTCTCAATGTGAACATGAATGTTACTCGTACTGCCTGCTATCGTTACTATGTCTATGACTCTATGACTATCACAATGACAGTTATTGACACTACTCTTTCTGTTACTAATCTTACAAGTGTTATTGGTCTTATCATTATCACCATTACCATTTTCTACTTGTAGTGCTGCTACTACTCCTCATTCTGCTTCTCCTGCTCACCCCTACCCTGCGCCTACTCCTATTCCTAGTCTTCCTGCTCTTACAACTGCCCAAAACACCCTAAACCCTAAACCTGCACTTTCCCTAAGGGTCCAAGGACCCAAAAAGTGGGGTTTTAGGGCCTAAATACCATTGATAGTATCGTATTTGGGCCCTAAAGTCCCATTATTTGGTCCCTTAGACCCTTAGGGTTTTTTGTGAACCTCGTGCCTTGGCCCAGTTGGGCACCAGACCATTGGAGGGACACTGCGTGGCCTCGAAGACTTTGTAGGTGGTTTCGATCACCTCCACTTACGGTTAAGGGTTTAGGGTTTAGGGTACAAGGTCTAGGGTTTAGGGCACAAGGTTTAGGGTAGAAGCCGGGTTTAAGGTTCAGGGAAGCTTTATTAGTGAATCAGAATCTAAACTTAAGCCTTGAACGCTGACAGCAGTTTGCCCAGAGGCGCCTATGCAGTACCAAGCCCTTTAGAGCCTTTTAATAAGAAATGCTGAGCAAAAACCAAGAAAGCTGGTCCTAAAGCCCAGCTACCTGCACTTTCTTTATGTGAGCGAAGGCAGCTAAGGAACAGTAGCTCAGTACTTGTAGCTCCACCACATGCCGACAAACTTGAACACATGACAACTGAACAGCCGCACCTTGTTCCATTCCGCCTCCCAATTGTCCCCCTCATTGGCTGATGTGCCGTAACGGGAATCGTGCGCCTTCATGTAGTTGCGGCACAACCTATACACGCCCGGGGCGTGGTAGCTTGGGTTTTGGCCCTGACCACCCCAACCACCCCAGCAAGCGCCCAGCTTGACGATGCGATGGTTGCCGGAACTGGATTCTACAGTGGAGCTCATGTAGAACTGCTTGCAGGTGTCGTATGCCCACTGGCCGACCTGTCAACGCACGGGCACAGAACAGAATTATGCGACGTCTTTAAAAAACACCTGCCGCTACGTATCTTGGTCTCCCATTAACAGTAACATGCAAAGGGCAAGCCTCGTCCAACCAATTTGGTGGCGACGGCTCCTTCTCCAGAGCCAATACTGCCAGCAGCATGCCGGCCAGCGCATCTGCGTCTCCGTCTGGGGCAGAACCCTTCCCGATGATGTTCGTGAGGTCGT